CCAGATGAAAATATCTCTTAAAGACGAGATTGAGATACTTCGAACACCATGCACTGTAAGGATATAAGAATTCGTTGGTAATATTATCACGACCAGCTGCTTTCTTTGGATCGATACAAGGTAGTAAGGAGAAAATACCTTCTTCTGATATCTTTACGTCATTCATTGGGGGAACATTTTCAAATAAAGAAAACTCTGGGAGGACACAATAATCAGTAGAAAAAACACTGAAAAAATATTAATTGAAAACATTTGCGATTTGTTTCTTGTTTTAAATAACCCTACTTCCTGCTATCACCTTGGTAACTTCTTTTTGACTTGATGTTAGTTGTCGCCAGAACCTCCGTGGTGAATATTTTATGAAGCTTTGCATCTTATCATTAAAAAAGGATAATTTCGTTGCCTTTACTTTTGATTTAAGTTCCGTACTTAGCATCAGTATTTTAGCCTGTAGGAGCCCATCCTTTGGATTCCGTTTTTTTGCGCACATTGGAACGAACATATGAATGCACTCTAGTAAAATGCTTTTAAAATTAAGCCATAGCTCGCCCAATATAATCAAGGGGTTAATATCAAGGTCCTCAAATGAGTCGTAGTTAAAGCCTAGGTGATCAATAATTGAATCATCATCAGCTTTCTTAAAACTTCTGTATGAAGATATTTCCGTTTTCTTAAGTGGAGCCTCCAACGATAGTTCCAAGTATACACTACTGTGATCTGCAATTCCCGGGTGAATCTTGCAATCATGTGTAACTTGAGAGGATCTCACTGACAAATATCAAATCTATTAGGGATCGTGATTCCCCTTGTACCCTAGTATGCTCTTTAACAACCTCTGTCAAGTTGTGCGAAAAAGCCAAATCCAGAAATTCTTCAGAGCACGACACTTCACTGTCCTCAGTTTCTAGTGTGGCCCAGACTATCCTACCGAGGTTGACATCTCCCATCAAAATAATGTTTTTGGAACTTACTTTTAATTTAAAAAGAAACCCATTCAACTCATTAAAATATCCAATGGGCATTTTTGGTGGGTGACACCGACTATTAGTCTACTGTTTTTCCACTTGATCCTGCACCATACATTTTCAATACCTGGAGCACCTTCCATTTCAAAAGCGATTAGGGACAATTCAACTATTAGGGCAACACCTCCTCCTCTACTTCCTTTGTCCTTTCAAAAATATTATAATCAGGGGAACTATCTCATTGTTTGATCACTTTTTTTTATTGTGAAAAGCTTTTTTTGAAGTGTCAGTGCATGATTGCTCTTTTACTTCTTGTATGTATTACCACTCCTGTAAAGGCCTTATAAAGCGCCGACAGTATCAATAAATAAATAAATAAATAATGAATCCAAGCCAGGTTTCAGTAATAGCCACTATACTGGGGTCGTGATCTCTTAAGATGTGTTCTAGCTGAAGCGTTTTATTGATTATACTTCCAGAATTAAGGTTGATTAGTAGGAGGGTTTTTGTTTCTTGTGAACTAGGTTCACGTCATTGTTCATTGTTCATTGGGCGGTACATTGGGTGCAAAAACTTGAACCCTCTGGTCAGCACCTGAGTTCCATCCGTACATTACTCCATTGATGTTTAGCTTGTCGTACGATAGGAACACCTTGTCTACATTTCGTTTATTTCCAGCTGCACTCTCTTAGCTTCCCCCTAATAACTCTTACGTTACTAGAAAAGTCCTCATTAATTAAAAAAAAAACAAGTCCCTTTAAGCTTTTCGGCATTTCTAAGTACGTTTTGTTTTTCGTAATTACTTCCAAAGCTTAATATGACTGGCCTCGGCTTTCTGCTGGGTAGCCTTCCAAAACGGTGAACCCTTTCGACAGACGTTACTTCAACACTAATTTTTGCTTTGAAAACATCTTCAACTACTTGTTTTGTTGGTAAGATTGTTTTTGTAATTTTTTTATGAAAAAAATGCTGATATTTTTTTTTAGTTGTTCAGAGAGTCTTCGAGTAGCTTATTTTGACCCCCTTTGAAGCGTTTTAAATTTTAACTGCTCCGAGTTTGTAAAAAGTGGGCGTACAGTTTAACCTTTAAACACATTAGTTTTAAACAAATTTGGTGACCCACGGTTAAACTAAGTTTCTTGTTCGTTCGCCACTTTAATTTTCGAAAACTTGTTATACGTATCTGTGTACATATAATTAGCAAATATAGTATGCATCAACACGGACAGCACTGTATACTTGGCTCAATTTACATTGCAAATATGTGATCGAAACCTCTCACGTGTATAGGATTAATATTTTTAAATTCAGATATGTTCTCTTGATCGATTTTGTGTACTAAAGTCTGCCTTGTTCACAAACAGGTACATAAGTAAATAATCACTATACTGCGCATTTATAACTCCTGTAGAGGTGGTGCTCACACATTTGTTATAAAATATACATAATGCTACTGAATAAGATGCTACATGAGTTGGGGGAAAATAAAATTTGAACAATTGTTCGACGCGAGACAGTAGCAAATGTCAAGTTCCGTCGATGTCTCCAATCCATAATAATCTTAAACTCCCCGCCGAATGAAATATCGTCTTAACAAATATTTGTACAATAAAAAAAAATTCTTCTATGTAACAAAAAAAAAATTGTCTATATTTTCATTGGGTGATCCAAACAACACGAAACAAAATATTTGTTTTTCACACTTTGAGAGTAAAAATCTCAAAATAGCAAGCACACAATCAAGATTAATGTTGAAACGCCTATTTATTTCCAGAAAATTACTCTAACGAACATCCAGACGAAAGAAAAAAAAAAAAGAAACTACCATGATGTGACTTGACTGGGTAAGGTACCTGCTACACCGAGAAGCTCTCGCCACCCCGTCTGCCATCGCGATTTATAAAGTAAATAAGATGTGTATCCACGAAGCCGGAGCATCTATAATTCAGTTTGATACCAAGTCTCGGTTAAAATTACAATATCAAAGTTGAAATTCAAGTCTCGCAGAAAAACGCGTAGCTCATCTACGATGATAGAAAAAATCGTAAGGGTGCAGGCGAGCTGGTGAATATTAACCATGTTGAAATAACCTGAGACTGGGGTAGAGAAGAAGCATCAAAGCGTAGAAGGGACAGAAAATAGACAGGAGGACGTCTCAAACTCAGCTGAGTTTGAGATGAGCTGAGTTTGAGACGTCGTCCTGTCTATTTTCTGTCCCTTCTACGCTTTGATGCTTCTTCTCTACCCCAGTCTCAGGTTATTTCAACATGGTTCATCTACGATGTTTCGCGCAGATCGGAAGGTTTGAGTGAAGAATTGTAAGTGGTTCCCTTCTGTAAGAACGGTAAATGTTTCTGACTTCGGTAGGAATTATGCGGTGCTCGAACTTCCATGTCAGATGGTAGATATAAATAAAAGACACACACACGCACACACGCACGCACGCATCAAGCATATTTCAGAATTTTTGCCTGGTCATCGACAGGGATGGTTTACAACCTTGCAATGATTAAGCCGCAATTTGATCTCACAGAACCACCTCCAATGCGTAATGCACATCGGAGAACAAAGCGATTACACTGAATTGCTTGGTCGCGGAACCGGCGAGGCAGAGGAGTTGCATATAAAAACGTTCTTATAGCTGCCCTAGAAAAAAACAGTATGGGGAATGTGAGACTAAGGTCGACACTTACTTCGGTTTTGACATCGCGCGCAACGAGCGAGCAATCGCCGATAAGCCCTTCTTCGGAACTGTACCAATGTAACACGTCCCGTTTCCATAGAAACAAGGTAATCGTTATCAGGACGCGGTAGAAGTTATGTGAAAAAAACCATTGCGAAACACGCGACGCCCATTGTGGTAGCAGGAATTAGTTCAGAGTACAATTCGCGCCTAAGAAGTAATCTTCAGAACACAGTGAAACGTAAGCAAGTGGACAAAAAGTGGACAAGTGGACAATCAGAGCCAATCAGAGCTCTGATTGGCTCTGATTGAAGGATAGGGGGTAGACCACGAAGCAAGCTGCCTTGAGGTCTCTACCCACTATCCTTCAGTCAGGGCCAATCGGAGCTCAGCGTTCTCGCGTCACCACAACCCCCTGCGCAAGGAGCAGACGAACTTGCGCTGCGCACAATCACTGAAAACTTAAATAACGCCGGGCGTGGCGAGTCCCAGGCATCTAATTATCGCTCCGCAACCAATCGCGTTGCAGCATCAGTTGATTAAAACTTCGAAGAACCAATCACAAAGCAGCAAGATGTATTATCATAATAGGACACGCACTGCGTTCGTTCAGCTGTTAGCGACTCTAATATGTGGTGAAACGTAAAAAACACAAAGGAGACTCCGCCCACTTTGAAGCCAATGGGGCGTAAGAACTAGAAAGAAGCGTTTGGTCCTGTCTCGTCTTCCTCGTGTCGTCGTTTTTTAGGCGCTTCACAGGTTAAACATGTACAAACTAGCCCACCTATCCATTTTACAGAAAGAAGGCTCCGCCCCCTTTGTAGCCGACTAGTGAGAATCGTCGCAGAAAACATTGAGCGGAAAATTGTCTTTTAATGGCGTCTAAATATATTCTTTACAACTAATTCGCTTTTTTTACCTATACATTTAGGATTATTCTGAGGCTCCCGGATAGTTCTTTTTAAAATTTGCATACTTCCAAGTCTAGCAGAAATTTGAGGACAAAAATGTAGTTCCTTTTCAAATGAACGCTAGATATCCGCAAATTATTGCCTCCCAGTCGACACACGCACGTATACTCGTTACAAATTTTCAGTCGCACTCCGTAACGTGCTATGCAAAACCAAAATTGTGCTCATTCTGAAAAAAAAAAAAAACAGGACTTAAAAAAATAAAAGTGGGGAAAGAGGTTATTATGAACGAGTAATACACTGCGAGTTATCGGTTCTCCAAACACACACACACACAAAAAAAAAATTAAAATTGCTTATGAAATTTGAATTTTTCTTGAGGTATAACAGTTCGAAAAATTAACCGATCGATCGAAGATTGAATAAAACGTGTCCACTTACCGTTCAACTTGCGTTCCTGAATGTCGTGCGGGTATTCGTTACTCCAGTCCAGATATTACGGCCTTCGGTGAAAGAGGAATGAATCGGGATAGAACACCGGTGATAGAAGCTCGGAAGGCAGAGCGATAAAGAGATAGCGACAAGTGGTTGATAAACAAAGCGTTGCGCTCAAGGGAACGCCAAGATAAGAATGTCCGTTCCGACAGGCAGCGAGAGCCATCCTGCGGTTCCCGAGGATACTAGCAATTCTTATCGCTTTGTTTCGCGCACACTTGTAACAGGTTCCACGCAGACTCAGTTATAACTATAGTCGGTGACAGATTAAAAGTCTAGGGTAAGCTCCTCTTATCTCTCTACTCTTAAGCAAAGTGAACGCTCGAGAGAAGGTCGCCCTCTATCAGCGTTCGCTCTGCTGAAGGGGAAAGGGGTGGGAGGAGCTTCCACTAAACTTTAAATCTCTCACCGACTTTAGTTTCACGCAAACTGTTACACGTTACTTCTACATAGCTGCTTTTTTATTTTTTTTTTGGGGGGGGGGGGGGGCGGGGGGGGGGCGAGGGGGGGTAACAAGTAACTCTGTTTAGTTACTTTTGTGGGGAAATGTGTATAAAACAAGTACCCGGCCTAGTTCTCTCACACTGGCTTGCGCTTGTAACTTACAAATCGAGAAGATTCTAAATGTACCAGAAAAGATGTACACAAGGTATGTCTCTATACCCACAGCTATCCCTAAAGAAACGCGCCAAAACGCAAGCAATAATTAACGACGACGAAGATTGAGACACAAAACTTGAAAGTATAAAACAGCGAGGACGAGGACGGGAACGGGGCATCTTTTACTACTACTGTTTCATCAAACGACACATTCAGAGTAACGATCACTGAGGTGGCGTTTTTTCTTTTTTTAAATCGCACTAGCCAGTAACGTACAGTCACTAACGATATGAAAAGCCCAGACGAGCACGTGGCTCCGAGAACCTCTAGTGATATCTAACGGAAGGAAGCTCCAGCTATCATCGGTAACTAACTGTCACGTGGACAAGCGGCATTTCAGCGGCTGTTTGATTTTTGTCGTTATTTTCCACTCGGTCGGCAAATGATTTCAGAGTCAACAGCGATAGTAGTAGTGCTCGGTGAAATAAGATAAAAACCGCTTATCGTCGGTCATCCCGCTAACTTATTATCAAGAGCCCGAAAACTGATAACTGCACCTGTCGACCGGCTGGATCCAGCCACACTTGATTCTGCCTTTTGATTGCGGAACGCCTTTATATTCCGTGGATGTTGTAGAACCAGATTGGACCATTTCAACTGAACAACTGTTTATTAAAGATAGACACTGCAAGTAACATTGCTATAAAGACAATTTCGAACAGAAGACGTGTTAACCGCGTCTTTCCTTTAGGCCAGGGGTCTCAAACACTCGGCCCGCTGGGACGCGGGCCGCAAGCAACCGGCTGCGAGTCCCGGTTCCCATGTCTCGATCGCTGGAAATGGCATGCGCCATATTGATATGATCTCGTCGATTCATTTTCGCTCGAAAACTACCTCTGCTCTTTTAACGTATTCACATGGTTTATACTTACCTGTGTTCATTTTTCCTTTGTTCCGCTTTATTTTTTGCTTTCCAGCTATTTGTAATGTAGAGCAATTCCGCTACTAGGTTGCAGGCGGAAGCTATTCGTTGAAGGATGTATTTCGGCTGCGTAAACTCTCAATCAGCAGGAGCAACTGCCAAAGATATAAAGCGAAAAGCTCGGAATTCTAGTCTTTAAAGGGGCACTGACACATCAAAATCATATTTTTTTTTATTATCTGAAACGGTCGAAAACGGTGCCGGGACATTACCCTCAAAATTTGAAATTTGGGAATTCAGTATTCGTGAAGTAAAAAAACAATTTCCAAATGCCGAATTCGAAGTTCCCGCGCGATCGGCGCCGGTGCCTTGACGTCAAAAATTGCGGAGACCTGAGAGTCCCCTTTCCTGTCACCACTCCCTGCTGTTGCCATGGCGACCCAAAGCGAGGAGGAAAGGAGCGAGCGCCGGCTAGCGCCGGCGTTCCGGCGGACCGGTTTTGAGCGGTGTCGCCTGTTTTCCGTTGGAGGATACAAATCCAGGAGACGGCACCACAACGAACTCCCGATTTTTGGTATTTCAAAAAGAAGGGCCGTAGCGCGTTCGGAATTGCGTTAAAAAACACGTTTTAGGATTGCCGTAATTAAATGTTATAGAGATGTCGCCTACAAAGCTTCTAAATTTCCTGATTTTCGACGTCACCGATCAAAAGAAGCGAGGAGGCGAGAGGCGGGAAAATCAAACGCCAAAAATAAAAAGGGGCGCGTGCGCGCGGGAAAATTTTTTTTCGCGATGCGGTTTTTTTTGCGTGTCTATGGCTGCAACTTGCATCGTTTTAGACAATAAAAATAAATACGACCTTTGGGGTGTCAGTGCCCCTTTAAGAAATATCCCCATTAAAAGACAATCATTTGTTCGAAGTGTTGTAATAAAAATCACCAGAAAAGCAAGAACTGCCAAATTAACTTATTGTTTTTAGAGAAATGTTGAGTTTGGTTAATTGCTGAGTGAACTGAGCAACGGGAACGACAGTGTACTTGTTTTCTTGTTCTATTAAAAATGCCAGCACATTGGCGGGGCTGTGTCATTTTAATTCTTGTTATCACATCCCGCCACGACCCAAAGTAGTCATATAAACAAATCAAATCTAAAGATGTCGCAGTCAAAACTGCGGGTTTACCAAAAGCATAGAGCACGAGGTCTCTTATTTTTTAAAATTTTTTGAACACCCTCCCCACCCCACCCCCGTCTTACGTTGGCCCTTGACCTTTTCGGTGTGGGCTATCTGGCCCCCATACTCAAATGAGTTTGAGACCACTGCTTTAGGGGAACCCAACACAAAGAGACCCTGAGCCCCACACGGGCAACCCAGAGATTACCCCGTTCCTCTCTCTCCTTGTCATAAAACACTACGCCGACCACGTAGACTAAACACACTCCGAAAAACTCCCCGTCCCTGGGTCGGGTTTCCAAACTACGTCACCCCCTCGCCGCGGCTCAAGTGATCTGTGGTATACGAGCCAGTATATAGACCGAGGTGGCACGTGAAACCCTATCCGCAACAGTGGAATCAGCATAAACTCAGCGGCAACCTTTCAAGTGGGGACTGACGACAAAAAACTTGATCAACTACTAAAGCCTTCATAGACCCTTTTCGAAAGTCCGCGCCTATGATTGTACACCATTGCTTGCTCACGCTCTCCGAACAGGCATTGGACACGAATGCTGACGTCCACGTTCCCCGAGGACTCAGGTCCAATCACGCGCTTCCTGTCCAAGCCATGGCGACCGCCAATGTTGCTTGACGGACTTTTGAAAAGGATCGATAATGGTTGAGCTCTCCTGATCTTTTTCATATCGTCCGCTACTGTACTTATCTACTTATTGAGTGAGTGACGTGTAACAACACACTTAGTTGATCTATTTCAATAACACGTACTTCTCTGGTTTCACGTGTCCCAGCTGTGGCGAAATGGTTAATACCTACAGTAACTACTTATTATCTCTAAATTCAATATAGCAATTGAAAAAAAAAAGCGACAAGCGAATGTTAAGTCACAGTTAACATCTAGGTTTTTTTCCGCGCTCTCGAGATAAGTGACCTCGTATGTTGTACGACTAGCAGGCGCATGCGTTTCCCAAGGTTTACGCGTATTTCCCTCCATCAAACTTTATTTTACTCGCCGGAAACTGGTTGTGCTACCAAGGCTACGACATCCGTCGTCATGTTATCGGTGTCGCAGTACAGCCTTTCAGATTGAAAAACAAGAATAAAAACGAGCAAAAAAATGAAAGACGTTTACAAAAAGCTCTGTAATGCGAAATTAGAGCGCAGCTCTTGAGGAGGAGGGGAGGGTACGAAGGGGAGGGTATGCCCCTCCTCCGTACCCTCTCCTCCTCCCGTCCTCCCCCATCCCCTCCTCTCTCCTCCTCCTCCAATTCAGTTTCCCGCTAAATTTAGCGGGGAAAATAACTTCACATGACTTGGTGTCGCGCCACCTATGAACAAATTCGGTTTGTCCGCTAGATTTAGCGGGAAAATTCACGTCACATTACCTCAACGTCAATTCAATTCCCCGCTAAATTTAGTGGGGAATCGCATTGGTGTTGAGGCCACGAGACGTAAATTCTCCAGCTGAATCTACCGGAGAAACTGAATTTGTTCATAGGTGACGTGACACCAAGTCATGTGACGTCACTTTTCCCGCCAAATTTAGCGGGCAAACTGCATTGGAGGAGGAGGGGAGAGAAGGGGATGGAGGAGGAAGAAGAGGGGAGGAAGAGAGGGTATGAAGGGCAGTGTATGCCACTTCTCCTCCTTCGTACTTTCTCCTATTTCCTTCCTCCTCCTCCATCCTCTCCTCCTCTAATTCAGTTTCCCCTCTAAATTTAGCGGGGAAAATGACGTCACATGAATTGGTGTCATGTCACCAATGAACAAATTCAGTTTCTCCGCTAGATTTAGCGGGGAATTGAATTGGTGTTGAGGTCATGTGACGTAAATTCTCCCCCTAAATCTAGCGGAGAAACTGAATTAGTCCACTCAATCTAGCGGAGAAGCTGAACTTCCGTGCTTAGTTTAGCGGGGAATTGAATTGGTGTTAAAATCACGTGACGTCAATTTTCCACCTAAATCTAGCGGAGAAACTGAATGCCCCTGCTAAATTTAGCGGGGAACTGAATTGGTGTTGAGGTCCCGTGACTTCAATCTTTTTGCTAAATTTAGCACGGTTACGCCGACGCCGACGCCGGAAAACACGGAGGGCGCCTAAGACCTGCGCTCCAAAAATTAAAAATTAAACTTTAATGAAAAAAAAACATTTAGAATTTTGCTAAAAAAACAACTAGGTTGACCTCTCATGTGGCTTACTAGTTCAGACGTGTCATATTGAGTTGTTGAAGCAATTTTGAGACAAATTAGTGACCATGAAAATTTTGCCTGGCAGCCCCGAAACTACTTCCGAGTTGTGTTTGTAGCTCAATTGACGGTTCCGCAGTGTGGGCGAGATCAAATCTACGCATGCACTGTTAATGTGAAATAGTCGCTTATCACCTTGTCAGAATCATTTCAAGCCCACTGGGAAAGGATGGTGCTTAAAATATTATAGAAATATATGTGCAGGTTAGATGCGTTCTCGAACTACTCGACAGATGGCGCAAGTGTGCCAGAATGTTCAGTGGTTACAAAATAATACAACGTACTCAATATTAGAAAAGGCAAACTTGT